CATTCCCGCAGCCCAGGGCAGTCCCTGGAGCTCACGGCATTCCCATAGCCCGGGGCAGTCCCTGGAGCTCACTGGAGCGCGCCGTCCGTCCGTCCCCCCCGAGTCCCGGGGCGCTCCCAGCGGGGCCGGCACAAAGCCACGTCCTCTGCACTCGCCAGAACGGAGGTGGCAACTCCGGACAGAGCTGCCCTAGGGCCACGCCGCCGCCCAGGTGCCAGAGCCTGTCCCTGGGAGCGGGTGGCAGCGGAGCGAGCGGTGGCCGAGGGGATGATTTCTCACACTGGTGCCAGCTCTGCGGGAGGAGGGAGAAAGGCTAAGGAGCATCAAGGAGCTCCAGAAAGAGACTGGTGGAACCAAGCTCTGCCCTCCCTAAGATGGGAGCAGGAACGACCACCAGAGAAAACCCACAATCAGGGGCTTTTCCCCTTCTCAAATACGCTGTTCCAGAGACACTACCACAGTGATGACTGGCATTGGCTATGCTGGACATGAGGGAAGCTTCTGGTAGAAGCCATCTCTGTAGCACCCCCACCCCCAGTTACCCAAACCTTGCCACACAAACCCAATACATTCCACCCCTCGCCTCTGGAAATCTAAGAATTATCATTACAATGTACATTAATCACAAACTTCACTTAACATCAACAAAAAGAATTCTCTGCACCAAAATCAAAATAATATCACAATGCCAACAAAAACGGGCAATTTACAGAAAATCCTCCCCTTACCCCTTCACCGCAATTACAACCACCAAAATACTCCACAGTCATTCCACTCTTCCTTCTCTAGTGTTGTTCATCCATGTTTTTCCTGTTACTTTTCCCTCTATCCTTATCTTGAATTCTTCATGTCCCTGTTTGGCTGTCAAAAAGGACTTTTTTTTTGCCGGGGGAAGGGGAAATTAATCCCACTGCCTTGTGTTGCTACAGATTACTAAAAGTACTATAAACCCCATTGACACAGTGTATCAGCCCAGTCTTGCGGAGCAGTGACCAGCACAGTGCCTTCCCAGGCAGCTACACCTCCAGGACAGGCTCAGTTGTGCAAGTTAGAGCATCACCTCTTACCTCTGCCAGTGGGACCTGTAGCAGCATTGCTTGGAAACCTGACTCCCAACACCAAACAGCACAGGAAGTGGGCAATCAGCACCCAGCAGTGGTCTCACTTCTCCAAGCCATGTCAGTCTTTCTCTGAACACAGACTCAGATTTTTCTCACTCAAGCAGTGAGGATGGATTCTGTGAATATTCTGTCAGAGCACTCCTTCATCAAAATGATGTGTGAACTCCTCAGGTCCTGGCTGCAGTCTTGACTCACAGCAGCACAGGAAAGGCTGAAATGTACCAGAGTCCCTTAATTCTTCCATGTCTAATGGGACAAATGATGGTGATCTCTTTGATCCTCCAGATGATCGAGATGATGAGGAAGGAGAATCAGTGGTAAAGCATAAGAGTGTATCGTGCATCTATTGTCACAAGTTAGACTAGGAATGGATCTAACAAAGATCTGTGCCCCCCAGCTACCAAGACCTTGTCACACAGACCCAATACAGTTGCATGCCTAGATTATGATGAACACTATATTTTGACTATTTCTAATGGTTAAAGATCTTTTCTCATTGTGCCACGGGTAGAACTTGGTGAAGAATTACAGGCATTTTGAATCACCTTCCTCCACGTGGCCTGTGAGCATAGGACATCCTCAGGATGTTTGTAGATGACTTCCAGCACTGCTAATTCTCTTGCATACTGGATGCCCTCCTATGTGGTTGCCCATTTTCCTGGGCAATTCACAAGATCTTCCTTGAACAGATATCTTGCTGTCATACTTGAGAGGAGCTGCCTCCAGAGATTGCAAATCACCACCTCTTTTCCAGTTCCTCTCTCAGTTCCCTGTTTCTAGTAAGGGATCCCAGATGCTGGACTTCCTTACCTTCCAGCTGCTGACTGTCATCCCATCGTGCCAGCATTGGAGAAGCCAGGCAGCAAGCTGCTCACGTGGCTGGCAGTTGTAATCTTTCCGCACGTCTCAAAGTTCTGAAGAAGTCAGGGATCAGGTAGTCTCTACTTTCTGTCTGATTCCTCTCACTCCTTTCTCCCCCTTCTTTGCCGAAGGACTGGCTTCTTGATCAAATGTTTCCTCTTTTTCCTTCTCCCTTCACTGATTTTGGTCTCTGCATAGTTGTTTCACACACATAATCCTTGAAATCCAGCAGTAACCCAAGATATTAATTAAAGCTTCTACATTTTTAGATGACCTCAGAAAAACAACACTGACAGTCCTGTTTCTTGAGATACTCAACCCACATAACAGTTCATGTTATAATCCAGTCAACAAACTGAATGTTTATGCTACTCTGATTAGGAATATTTCAGAGCAAAGGTTTCAGCTTGTCCACAGCAAAGCATTTTTAAAAGGATCACAGAAAAGACACAACAAAAATTTGATTTACCTTGTTTACTCCTTATTTCTCCCTTTGAGGCTACCTGCTAGCCTGAAATGTTCCCTCACTATTTATCTTCCTCCTCAAGCATGTGAAACACAAGAAGACACAATGCTGAGAACACAACGTCCATACTACTTAGATTCCCAGGGTTTTACTTTATACTGACTTTAACTTGGTCCCACGGACTGACTGTTTATTAGCAGCTGGAGTGCACTATGGCTATGCCTGCATCAGCAAGAAATGCAGAACAGTGGAGCAAATCTGGAGGGCAAAGAGTTGGTGCTGAAAACTGAATGTTCACTCTAGATGCATTTCAAAATTTACCTAAGAGGAGTTTTAGGCTAGTCCAATGAACAGATAACCCACCATCACGCTTGTGTACCACAGCTTTTGGTCTAATTTCATCTGAAGGGAATTCAGTTTGTGCTCTCCAAGATTGCTACAGGTTACAAACCAAAGTAGGTGAGTAGGGACAAGTGAAAATTAATTTCAAAAGTTAACTTCTAATTCAAATGAAAACACTAATGTAGACATGTCATGACTGTACTCCTGGAATGAATCTTTCGGTTTTGATTCATCAAACTTGCGCACAAAGCTGAAAGTACTCATTTATGAACTGTCTAGAGGGCACTTACTTTAACTTCCGCTATTAATTTTTTAAAGTCAAAGAATTACAGAGATGCTGGCTAATCCATACATAACATACCTTTTGGTATATTTGATGTACTGCAAAGAAGGTAATAAGAAAGGTTTATTTGCACATAGCTTGGGAAAAAATGCTTTTCCTTTATGGAAACAGTCTTGTCTGCTCATTACCATGAATAGTTGAAAACTGATACTAATTATACCACTTTTTATTTCCTGTTATATAAGTGGGTATCTTTAACTTCTGTTCCACTCTGCCATTCTCCAAAGACAATGTGTGAAATTAGTGAATAAGAGTCTGGTTGCTTTAGTAGTTTCCCTGTCTTAATGACCTGGACATAAAGCCAAAAACTGTGTATCGCAAAAGAAACATTAATGTTTCTTTCACTAGCACAGTTGCATAATATGTCATGTAATCCCAAAGCTATATATCCCAAACAGCATCTATCCATTAATAGGAAAACAAACAGGCAGAATAATCTTACTATTCATTCATGATCCAGTGAGAAAACGTTGTGCAAATGTGAGCGCATGCCTTTGAAAAACAGCATTCTGTGGTTCTTTTCACTGCGTGGTGACACCATCCCCAACGACACAAAACAGTAAAGAAACCAAGTGTCTGAGTATTTTCTGTAGACAATTATGTGATAGGGTTAGATAGATGGTGAAAGGAGTAAAATGGAACAAGTAAACAACCAGATCCTCATTATCAGAGAGGTGCTGAGCACCCACAGCTCCCTCTAAATTAGACTGGGAACTCTTTAATATGTCTGCCTTTAATCTTTGTGCCTGAAAATCTTAAATTCAAATCTATACATTTTCATAAGTGAACATCACCATAATTGCTGTGAAGATTCCGGTATCTTATTTCGACACAGCAAGGAAGGCCTGGATGAGAAATAAGAGTCCATGTAGCTTCTGCCTGGAAATGCACATGTAGGGGACTCTTGGCACACAGTGGATTCTACACAGCTGTAGGATTGAAGGAAGCCCTCAGGCTGGCTTTGCAATGATTTTTATATAACCCTTGATACCAAAACACATGAAGTTCTTAGTCATTAACAGATTTTCTCTCTAAAAACATTCTTTTGAGAAAGGGAGGAATTACTATTTCCATTTAATGACTAAGGGATCGAAACAAGACAGATGAAGAGATTTGACCGAGGATGTAAGGCAAACCTGCTGCAAACTGAAGCGACAGCTTAAAATTCCTCATCTGAGCCTTAAACAGACGGTATTACTGACCTCTGGATCTTGGCTAAGAAATGTCATAATAATTTCATTTTCTTATTCCACTGACATACAATGGATGGGGAAGTTTCCTTTTTTGCAGAATAACCTGGGATAACTGGTTAATTTAAAACCACTATTCTATTTGACTTTGTGAGCTACCTTTGCCTCTTGTAAAAACCACATATGACCACACTGTGAGAGCAAGACTGCAAAGAAGTTAATGAGAGCAGGCTACTTTGGAGGTGTAAAGAGACTTCTAGGAGAAGAGTTTGGGCCATAAATATACAGTATGAAGAATTACATTAATTTATTTTGCATAAACATTTAGAAATACATGATTAGTGAAAATGTAACACATACAATTAAAAACTATGAACCTTACCTTGCACTCAACCTCCTTTGGTTGCTAAATACTTCTGAGCTATTTTTATTCTGAATTTTTACAAAGTTAATTTCTCTTGGTAATATGGAGTTCCTTCTCTTTTATGAACATGTCACAAGTAAGACTGAGTTAGGATTGTATTTTGCTACTCAATAAAACTGATTTGTTTGCTGTCATTTATTGGGTAATTACTCCCATCGGTGCAACTGAGGATGGGCATAATATAGGCTGTTGTAACTAGGAGAAATGAGTAATAAATCATGTGATATCACATCCAAAACTTCTTATATCTTACCTGAGTTAACAATATCACTCTTTGTGGAATTTCACGGACACTTACAGGAACCTATTCCTTGTCCCTCAGTCCTTCAGCAGTAGATGACATATTTGTCCCTCCAACTGGCTCAACAATACAACTACCAATCGCTTAATTGCTTTATATTACAGACATTGTAGCCGCTTGTGGAAACTGTAATGCAAGAAATGGTTTCAAATTTCTGGCCTCTTACAGTGCCTGCCTCATGCAGACACTTGGTAGGGTAGAAAGAGCAAATACATGAAACACAAAGCAAACATACCTCCAGCTCCAAGAACTACAGGTTCTTCAAGTCTGGTGAAGATCAAGAGACATGAAGAGGGGACCTTGATTTCCCTGTACAGTTGCTGAAAGACAGTGCACTAACAGTCAAAGGAGGCATTTCAGACTTGGGCTATGTGGGGTTCTGTAAGTAAAACTGAAGAATATAAAGCTGATCATATATAATAGCAGGGCACTGACTTTACATGGTGAATTCTGGCTATGTGCCAGACCAGCGGCCAGAGAAATGGTGACATAGAAACATACAAAAGTTTGTGAAAGTTACAATCATTTGTGAGGAAAAAGATAGTAAAATTAGATGCTATTCCATACCTAGACAATTATTTCAGTAATGGAAGGAAATAATACATGAGTTACAAAAATAAAAAATCAGTACTTCAGAAAATCAGTAACTTTGACTCAATAACTGCACCAAAGACTCTAAACAATATTTATTTGGAAAGAAAACAAATTAGCTATTCTTCCTGTAATGAAAGTTGAGAAGGAGTATGCAAATTATAGACTAGCTTGCAGTTTGGGGAACTATTTTTTAATAGTCATATAGAAAAACATGAACAATTTAAGTTTTCAGGAAGTCTAAGCACTCCTTTCAAGCCAGGGAGTGCCCACTGGAAAAATCTGTTTCTATCAGTTCTGTCTTCGCAGCTCCCCATGGGTCTGATCATGCACATCCACCACCCCAAAACTCTGCATGACTGAATTATGCATGTGTTTCTTTCTCAACTCCACAGCAAAAACATTGCAAGTGCAATGCAAGAGCAAAGGACTTTAAAAGAGACCAGAAAACAGTGATACATCTCTTCCGGCAGACACAGCTTATTCATAGTTACTGTCAAGCAAGCCCAGAGGATGATGACTAAAAAAAAACATAAACAAAAAAGAGAACCCAAGCCCTTTCTTTCAAATGGTTTCCTTTCTTCCTCCCACATGTATCCTTCAGCAACCAGCCAGAATAAGCATGCAATGAACACAGTTCACCTTGCTCTATACATTAAAACCACTTTAAATTTTCATGTAAAAGTATAGAAGGAAACCTAAACAACATATGGAAATGCAGAAGCAGTCTCAGCCTCACCCAACTGACGGACCAGGTAGAAAAGAATGAAAAATAAAAGGAACACATCTTTAAAAAACAGTTTAATTCTACCAGGGGCTACCAACAATATAATGCAATATAATTGTAGAGCTAATGCATGACAACATTGCATGACAGAATCAATGTTAGTGGGGAGTTTAGTTGTGTATTTTTGTACCAACACGTCTTTAAAAACTAAATTTAATCTCAGTTTCCTAGAGTTTATAAACTTGTTTTGGAAATACTTACATTTCCGTAGTTGCAACTTATTCATTGTATTGCCATAACACTTTGGAGCTCTAATCACGGACAGGAACATACCATGTTAGATGCTGTAAAAACACAAAACAAAAAGAGTGCAGTTCAAACACATGGTGAGCAGGCAGTGAACAGATAGAGAAGCATGAAAAAATAATGAGGCATTAACAATCAATACAGCAAGTACAAGACTCGGCATGCCAGCTTCCAAACTGAGTTACTGGAGACTCCAAAAAATATCCTTTCCCATACCTGAGAGTCAGAATGAAAGAAAACATAGAGCTATTTATCCAAAAACAAAACAAGCGGGTGGTGTAAGCTGGTGTCAGGAATTGTTGAGAGTTGTCATCTCCTAATGAATCATAGCCAAAGAATGACCTTGAAAGCAAATCAAGAAAGTAAAGAGACGTGTGGTCAAAATTACTGGCTTGAGAAATGATCTTTGCAGTTGTGTTACGGGAAAAGGATTATTTTTACACTTGACATGACTGGTACACACAAACTCCTAACTCAAATGAAACGTACCTTTGGCAGGGTTATTAAGAGTGAGAAGGCACCAGGGACAGCATCAGCTGCCAACACCCTGCCCTGCCCTGTGGATTAAGTGCCCCACACAGCACGGGAACACGGCGTGGGTTCGGGGCGGTCATGAACTTGGACATTGTTCTCTGTGAGGACATCAGTGAGCTGGCAAAGGCAGGAATTAATTATGAGAGGAAGAAAGTGCTGGGGAGGCGGGCAAAGGGCTGGAAGTGGCTCCTGCCTTTGGAGTGGTGGGACAGTCACACACATGGTCTTAAGCTTTGCCAGGGGAGGTTTAGGTTGGATATTAGGAAGAAATTTTTTACAGAGAGAGTAATCAGACATTGGAATGGGCTGCCCCGGGGAGGTGGTGGATTCACCGTCCCTGGAGGTTTTTAAGATGAGACTGGATGTGGCAGGCAGTGCCATAGTCTAGTAAGCATGGCGGTGGTGGATCAAGGCTTGGACTTTATCGTGAAGGTCTTTTCCAACCCAGCTGATTCTGTGATTCTATGTGATAATGCCAGGTGCTGTATTTTAGCAATACAATTAAATTTAGATGGAGCACAGAAATTTTTATGGCACACAAGTGCCCACTGACTGGGAAACAGAAGGATTTTGCTCTTCGCTCATCATATTTTGATCTCATCATCATCGTCATCATATTTTGATCTAAAATCCAGGGATTGTGTCAGTGGCCTGCTCGGATCCCAGACGTGGAGGATCACACAGCAGCGATGGGAGCAACACGGGTTGCTCGCTGTGCCCAACCCAACTGCAACTGGTAGCGGGCAACCCTGAACCCATGACAACTCTGCAGTGACACAGCAGTGTATCTAAAAAATAAACAACCCACTGCACGTCAACAACACCGCCAGTGCAGGCGGTAGGGTGTGTGCGTGCCGTGAGGCTGCTGTGGGAGCTGTGAGGGAGCTGTGAGGGTGCTGTGAGGAGCTGTGGGGGCTGTGAGGCGGCTGTGGGGGCCGTGAGAGCTGTGAGGGTCGTGAGGGCTGTGAAGAGCTGTAGAACCCCTGAGTGGGGATCCCCGGGCCGGACATGGCGGCCTGTGGAGGTCACGCGCTCCCGCCGTTGCACCCGGCCCCAACGGCCGCCCGCGCGCTGGCGGGTTGTTTACTTTCTCCGCGGCGCGCGCCCACCACCCCCCCCCGCTCCCTCCCCGCCCGCGCCCCGCCCCCGCCCCGCGCGCCCTCCCCGCCGGCCAATAGGAGCCGCCCCCGCCCCGCGCGCGCAGGGGGGCGGGCCCCGCCCAGGAGGAAATGGGAGAAGGGCAACGTCAGCCGGTATCGCTCGTCGGACGGGGCTGTGGCGCTGATTAGCCGCGCGAGCTGCCCATCTTCCCGAGGCCCCGCCTTCCGCTTTGCTCGCACCGCCGACTCCACAGCGCTGCCCGGCCCCGCCTCCCCGGTCTGTGTGTGTGAGGCACGGATTGGCTGCCGGACCGGCCGCTCACCGCTCGGCCAATCACCGCCGGCCCCGCCTCTTCCCCAGTGCAGGAAACGCCCCGCGATACCGCGGCCAGCCCGGAGTAGATCCCGCCTTCTATTGGTCTGCCGCGCTGTCAATCCGCTCTGACCCCGCCTCCCCGGACAGAGCGCGGCGAAGCCCGCCCCCCACTCCCAACGCCGCCCGCTGATTGGCTCGCCGGAGAAGGGCCGCGGCTCCCTATTGCCTGTCTCGACTGCCACTCCGGCGCGCGGCCCGGCCGGCTCTGCGCTGCCCCCTCGCCCCGCGCGCCGGGGGCCCCGCCCGCCGCCGGCCGTGGCCCCGCCCTCCGCGCGATCACGTGATGTTTTCGCCGCGGTGCCGCCGCCGCCCGTGAGTGCGAGCGGCCGGAGCGAGCGCGGGAGCGCGGACCGGGCGGGGGACGCAGGAGGCACCGCACGCACCGCCCGCTCCCCATGCGCGGGGCGCTTCCCCGGTGAGCGCCGATCCCCGCTCTGCCCGCCCTAGTGCCCCCGTCCCCGGCGGCACCGGACCCTGCGTGGCCCCTAAGATGGCGAGCGGGATGAATGGCTCGGGTGGCGGCGGCGGCGGCGGCGGCGGCGAGGAGGAGCCGGGCGCCCGGCACACGGGAGGCGGAGCCGCGCCCCAGCAGGAGCCCGGCGTGCTCGGCGCGGTGGCGGGCGAGGGCGAGCCGGCGGCGGGCGAGGGCGGGCGCTGCCCGTCCCCGCAGCCGCACCACCTGCTGCTGCTGCTGCGGCGCTCGCCCAGCGCCTCGCTGTGCCCGGCGCCCGAGGCCGCCCCCGCGCCGGGCCGGGCCGTGCCCTCGGCGGCCCGCGGCGGACAGCCCCCCCCGGCGGGCCGCGGCGCCGGCGAGGACGTGAGAAAGTGCGGGTACCTGCGCAAGCAGAAGCACGGGCACAAGCGGTACTTCGTGCTGCGGGCCGAGAGCCACCTGGCCCCCGCTCGGCTGGAGTACTACGACAGCGAGAAGAAGTTCAAGAGCAGCCTGCGGGCGGCGGGGGCCGGCGGGGCTGCGGCGCTGTGCTGCCCCCCGCCCAAGCGGGTCATCCCGCTGTACCAGTGCTTCACCGTGAGCCGCCGCGCCGACGCCAAGCACAAGCACATCATCGCCCTGTATACCAAGGACGAGTACTTCGCCATGCTGGCGGAGAACGAGGCCGAGCAGGAGGCCTGGTACCAGGCCATCAGCGAGCTCATGAGCCAGAGCAAGAGGGGCTTCCTGGAGCAGGAGGACCACGCCGATCAGCAGGTGGATGAGGATGACGAGCACTATGGGGCCACCCTGAGGCCCGGCACCGTCTTCAAGGAGGTGTGGCAGGTCAACGTGAAGCCCAAAGGGTTGGGACAGACGAAAAACCTCACTGGAGTGTACAGGTTGTGCCTCTCCAGCAAGGCCATCCACCTCGTCAAGCTGAACTCAGAGGTGCCCTCTGTCCACCTGCAGCTGATGAACATTCGCCGCTGTGGACACTCAGAGAACTTCTTCTTTATTGAAGTGGGCAGATCTGCCTCTATTGGGCCTGGAGAACTCTGGATGCAAGTGGATGATTCTGTGGTTGCCCAGAATATGCACGAGACTTTTCTGGATACCATGAAAGCTCTAAAGGCCTTTGCAGAGTTCAGGCCCCGGAGCAAGAGCCAGTCTTCTGGTGGTGGCAGTGGTACCAATCCCATGTCCCTTATCAGCACCAGGAGGCACTTGGGCAACCTGCCCCCCAGCCAGACAGGCTTGCAGAGAAGATCTAGAACTGAGAGTGTTGCTGGAGGGACTCCTCCTACCACCAAAAGCAACAACTCCTATCGCTTCAGAACATCCAGTGAAGGAGAAGGAACCATGGCTAGACCTTTTAGGTCAGTGACTGGGAGTATGATCCACCTGAATACTGCAAGGATGAATTTGGGCCGTCAGGAAGGGAGCGGAAGGTACGTGAGAGCTGCTTTCAGCTCATCTTACCACACCAGGTCTGCTTCGCTGCCCGTTTCTCATTTTCCCTCCACTACAAGTCCCATCAGTGTTTCTTCCAGTAGTGGCCATGGCTCTGCTTCGGACATGCTGACCAGGCCTTCTAGCTCATCTGTTTGTGGTTCCCCGAGTGATGGAGGATTTATCTCCTCTGATGAATATGGCTCCAGCCCTGGAGATTTCAGGTACTTTCGGGTCAGGAGTAATACACCCGATTCCCTGGGAAACACACCACCTATCAGAGAGGAGAACTGTCTGAGTGAATACATGTCCATGAGTAAACAACAAGTAGATGATGGCTCACGAGATGATTATATGGAGGCTGAAAAGTGTTTCAGGAAAAGAACTTACTCGCTAACAAAACCAAATTCTGTAGCAGTGCAACAGAAGACAACACAAACTGCAACTTTGTTAGATGAAGATTCTGCAGGAAATCACGGGCGATTACTTTACTCTGAAGCACCAAAATTGAAAGATAACCATGAATTGGAGTACAGTGATAGTAACCTTGATTCCATGTATAACCAAAGCAGGAGTCAAGCCAGGGATGATGGATACATGCCAATGATGCCAGGAGTTGCATCTTCTTTATCCAGCACCAGCGATTATTTGCCAATGACTCCTAAAAGCATGTCTGTTCCAAAACAGATCAACAATTCCTGGTCACCATCTCAAGTTGACTCCCGAGGATATATGATGATGTTTCCAAAGGCTGGCTCTTCACCTGTACGGAGTCCTTTAACTGGATTTGGTTCTAAAGGAAGTAATGAGAAGATTGTAAACAATGAGTATATGGATATGTCACCTGGTAATTCAGCTCCAAAGCACCCCGGTGATTCAAATTACATTCATAGCACTTCTGTGTCCAAAGGTTTTAGTTCATATTTTTCTTTGCCCAGAAGCTTTAAGGCGTTATCAGGACAAAATGGTGACCACAGTGAATATGTTCCAATGTCTTCACCTGGAAAACTGTTGTATGGTGGACCAGAAAATGTAAAAGGGGTGAGCAGTGAGACTCTGGCTAATGGCATCTCTAAATTGCCAACGTTGAAAGGTTCAGATGAAGGACTTGTGCAGAGCAGGGCCACCAGGCCCACACGCCTGCCCCTGGGTACGAGGGGGAGTAATACCATCCCCAGAATGTATGACCGTACAGTTCCACCTGAGCCAGCGAGTCCCGGTGAATACATAAATATTGATTTTAACGAAAAGGCAAGTAACACACCCTATTCCTTATCTGCAGAAGGATCACCATCATCTCTGGGCTCAAGTAGTGATCACAGGCAGTCACCGCTCTCCGATTACATGAGCGTTGACTTGGATGTACAGTCACCGAAAGTAGCAAAGCAACTGTCAAACTCTCTGACAGATATTTCAATTTATGCAAGTTCCAGTATTCCTAGAAACCAACCAAACCCTGACTACGCCAGGCTCTCATTTGGTACTGCTTGTGTCAGCACCACGAGTAACAGGACTGATGACTACACCGAGATGACGTTCAACATGGCAGCAACACCACCTCGGCCGTTTGCCACCGAATCTGACAACGGTGTGAAGATGGATAGTCCTTCTTCCATCGTTAATAGACTCTGCATTGTTGATCGATATGCTGGCAGCAGTAGCTTCTCCGTTCCTGGCTCTGACCCTCCTATGGGACCGAAAGTGATTCGAGCTGACCCTCAAGGCAGGAGGAGACACAGTTCTGAAACGTTCTCTTCTGCTGGGACTGTGACGACCTCGTCCTCTTTCTTTACTGATAGTAGCAAAAGACACAGCTCTGCCTCATTTGACAACGTTTGGTTAAAACCGGATGAAAACATTTCTGATGGTCAGGAAAGCAAAATGTCCAGGGATACCTCAACTGGATTTCAGAATGGCT